AACATTGTTGCCCCCATTCACCGGTCAAACGTGCCCTGATGGATAATGATGTGCTTCAAAACAGCAAAGATCCACTAACAATTAGACCGGGAATGCAGAAACAGCACAAATTCCTTCCTTTTTGGCCAACTAGCATAAGGTAGCACTTGATCCTTCAAGTCACAATGTGTGCATTGGCTGGGAATCGAACCCAGGTCAACTGCTTGGAAGGCAGCTATGCTCACCACTATACCACCAATGCCACGTTGTAAGTTGATACTCTGGTGAACAAAAGTTTAAGCATGTGCTTTTCTCGACATTCAGACCATAGGAAACAGCCAAAGGGTAGCAGTTGTGTGGTTTCTGTGGTGTAGTGGCTATCACGTTTGCCTCACATGCAGAAGGTCCCCTGTGCGAGACCAGGAGAAAACACATTTAAATTTTGAACTTTGCTTTAGTAACTGACCGATTGTCATCACTGTAGATTCAGGTCCTCTAGGAACAGCCAGAAAGCGAGTCCTTGAACAGAGCAGATTTCCTTCTTTTCTGCTGTTGTACCAAAGCAGATAACACTTGCTTACAAAATGAAAGGGAGTCTCTGGTTTTCCACAAAAAATGGAAGCCTGGCTCTTTCGTTGCTCTATAAGACTCTGAACGTGACTGGAAAATCTTCTGTAAAGAACTGGTCACCAAGTTCAGCTATCAGCAAAAGGACTATGCTCGAAAAAGGCTGGGAGCGTTTTCCCTTCCATTGTGCTTTTGTAGCAAGGCAGATAACAGCTCCTTGCAAAATACCAGGGAGTCTCTGCTTTTCCACTGAATGTTGAAGCCTGCCTCTTTCGTTGATCAAGAAGACAAGAGCAATGATGCGTTTGACTCGAAGTTGCAACTTGTAATTCCCCACCCCCAAGCAGGAAAATACAAAGAAAACGCACCCTCAACTGAAAATTGCCATTCGACAGACATGGAGAGACCTCATTTTCTTACACTTTTGCCCCTATTCACGGGTCAAACGTGCCCTGATGGATAACTTGAAGTTATCCAAGTTGTCAAACTTGATAACTTGATGTGCTTCCAAAAAGCAAAGAACCACTAACAGTACAAGTGGGATGCAGAAAGACTTCAAAGAGGCCTGCAGAGATGCCTGTGACACACTCTGTTGACCAATTCATTTTCAGGTAGGTGATTCCTTAGTTCCTTCCTCCTACAAAGAAAACGCACCCTCAGGTGGAAAATGCCATTCGGCAACATTGGGAAGTCTTTTTAACTACCAGTTCCTTCCCTGTTCATCGAGTGTCTATTAATCAGCATATAGACATATGTGCTTTTTAAATGTAAAACATTGACTATGTAGATAGCTGATTGCGGAAAATGTACACCTCTCATCACAGTTTGCACGGTAGCTTGTCGCTACAAAAATACAGAAATGTAGAGACCTCATTTTCTAACATTGTTGCCCCCATTCACCGGTCAAACGTGCCCTGATGGATAATGATGTGCTTCAAAACAGCAAAGAACCACTAACAATTAGACGTGGGAAGCAGAAAGAGTTCAAATAGTCCTGCAGAGATGCCTATGGAACAATCTGTTGAGTAATTTATTTTCAGGTAGTTGATTCCTTCCTTTTTTGCCAACTAGCATAAAGTAGCACTTGATCGTTCAAGTCACAATGTGTGCATTGGCTGGGAATCAAACCCAGGTCAACTGCTTGGAAGGCAGCTATGCTCACCAATATACCACATTGTAAGTTGATACTCTGGTGAACAAATGTTTAAGTATGTGCTTTTCTCATCATCAGATGATAGGAAACAGCCAAAGGGTAGTAATCGTGTGGTTTCTGTGATGTAGTGGCTATCATGTTTGCCTTACATGCAAAAGGTTCCTGGTTTGAGACCAGGCAGAAACAAGTTGAAAGTTTCAAAGTTTGCTTTAGTAACTGACCGATTGTCGTCACTGTAGATTCAGGTCCTCTAGGAACAGCCAGAAAGCGAGTCCTTGAACAGAGCTGATTTTTTTTAGCAGATAACACTTGCTTATAAAATGAAAGAGAGTCTCTGGTTTTCCACAAAAAGTGGAAGCCTGGCTCTTTCGTTGCTCAATAAGACTCTGAACGTGACTGGAAAATCTTCTGTAAAGAACTGGTCACCAAGTTCAGCTATCAGCAAAAGGACTATGCTCGAAAAAGGCTGGAAGTGTTTTCCCTTCCATTGTGCTTTTGTAGCAAGGCAGATAACAGCTGCTTGAAAAATAACCGGGAGTCTCTGCTTTTCCACTGAATGTGGAAGCCTGCCTCTTTTGTTGATCAAGAAGACAAGAGTAATGATGCGTTTGACTCGAAGTTGCAACTTGTAATTCCCCACCCCCAAGCAGGAAAATACAAAGAAAACGCACCCTCAACTGAAAATTGCCATTCGACAGACATGGAGAGACCTCATTTTCTTACATTTTTGCCCCTATTCACGGGTCAAACGTGCCCAAAGCCAAGATCCGCAGTTCAAACAATTGGAATCAGGTGTGGCTCCTGCTAGATTGGGATGAACAGTTGTCAAACTTGATAACTTGATGTGCTTCCAAAAAGCAAAGAACCACTAACAGTACAAGTGGGAAGCAGAAAGACTTCGAAGAGGCCTGCAGAGATGCCTGTGACACACTCTGTTGACCAATTCATTTTCAGGTAGGTGATTCCTTGCTTCCTTCCTTCTACAAAGAAAACGCACCCTCAGGTGGAAAATGCCATTCGTCAACAGTGGGAAGTCTTCTCAACTACCAGTTCCATCCCTGTGCATCGAGTGACGCCAAGTCAACACGACAGATTCAGAGCTCCCAAAGTGGCACTTACCTTACATTCTAACCAAGCAAAAGCCACACTTTCCTCTAGTGAAAGCCAAGATCAGCAGTTCAAACAATTGGAATCAGGTGTGGCTCCTGCTAGATTGGGATGAAAATCTGAAGAGTGGACCACCCTGTTTAAGACCAATCAGCATATTTGCTTTTTAAATGTAAAACATTGACTATGTAGATAGCTGATTGTGGAAAATGTACACCTCTCATCACAGTTTGCATGGTAGCTTGTCACTACCAAAATACAGAAATGTAGAGACCTCATTTTCTAACATTGTTGCCCCCATTCACCGGTCAAACGTGCCCTGATGGATAATGATGTGCTTCAAAACAGCAAAGATCCACTAACAATTAGACGGGGAATGCAGAAATAACTCAAAGAGGCCTGCAGAGATGCCTATGGAACAATCTGTTGACTAATTTATTTTCAGGTAGTTGATTCCTTCCTTTTTTGCCAACTAGCATAAAGTAGCACTTGATCGTTCAAGTCACAATGTGTGCATTGGCTAGGAATCGAACACAGGTCAATTGCTTGGAAGGTAGATATGCTCACCACTATACCACATTGTAAGTTGATACACTGGTGAACAAAAATCTAAGTATGTGCTTTTCTCATCATCAGATGATAGGAAACAGCCAAAGGGTAGCAGTCGTGTGGTTTCTGTGGTGTAGTGGCTATCACGTTTGCCTCACACGCAGAAGGTCCCTGGTGCGAGACCAGGTGAAAACACATTTAAATTTTGAACTTTGCTTTAGTAACTGACCGATTGTCATCACTGTAGATTCAGGTCCTCTAGGAACAGCCAGAAACCGAGTCCTCGAACAGAGCAGATTTCCTTCTTTTCTGCTGTTGTACCAAAGCAGATAACACTTGCTTACAAAATGAAAGGGAGTCTCTGGTTTTCCACAAAAAATGGAAGCCTGGCTCTTTCGTTGCTCAATAAGACTCTGAACGTGACTGGAAAATCTTCTGTAAAGAACTGGTCACCAAGTTCAGCTATCAGCAAAAGGACTATGCTCGAAAAAGGCTGGGAGCGTTTTCCCTTCCATTGTGCTTTTGTAGCAAGGCAGATAACAGCTGCTTGAAAAATAACAGGGAGTCTCTGCTTTTCCACTGAATGTGGAAGCCTGCCTCTTTTGTTGATCAAGAAGACAAGAGTAGTGATGCGTTTGACTCGAAATTGCAACTTGTAATTCCCCACCCCCAAGCAGGAAAATACAAAGAAAACGCACCCTCAACTGAAAATTGCCATTCGACAGACATGGAGAGACCTCATTTTCTTACATTTTTGCCCCTATTCACGGGTCAAACGTGCCCAAAGCCAAGATCCGCAGTTCAAACAATTGGAATCAGGTGTGGCTCCTGCTAGATTGGGATGAACAGTTGTCAAACTTGATAACTTGATGTGCTTCCAAAAAGCAAAGAACCACTAACAGTACAAGTGGGAAGCAGAAAGACTTCGAAGAGGCCTGCAGAGATGCCTGTGACACACTCTGTTGACCAATTCATTTTCAGGTAGGTGATTCCTTGCTTCCTTCCTTCTACAAAGAAAACGCACCCTCAGGTGGAAAATGCCATTCGTCAACAGTGGGAAGTCTTCTCAACTACCAGTTCCATCCCTGTGCATCGAGTGACGCCAAGTCAACACGACAGATTCAGAACTCCCAAAGTGGCACTTACTTTACATTCTAACCAAGCAAAAGCCACACTTTCCTCTAGTGAAATCCAAGATCAGCAGTTCAAACAATTGGAATCAGGTGTGGCTCCTGCTAGATTGGGATGAAAATCTGAAGAGTGGACCACCCTGTTTAAGACCAATCAGCATATTTGCTTTTTAAATGTAAAACATTGACTATGTAGATAGCTGATTGTGGAAAATGTACACCTCTCATCACAGTTTGCATGGTAGCTTGTCACTACCAAAATACAGAAATGTAGAGACCTCATTTTCAAAACTTGTTCCCCCATTCACCGGTCAAACGTGCCCTGATGGATAATGATGTGCTTCAAAACAGCAAAGATCCACTAACAATTAGCGGGGAATGCAGAAATAACTCAAAAAGAGGCCTGCAGAGATGCCTATGGAACAATCTGTTGACTAATTTATTTTCAGGTAGGTGATTCCTTCCTTTTTTGCCAAATAGCATAAAGTAGCACTTGATCGTTCAAGTCACAATGTGTGCATTGGCTAGGAATCGAACACAGGTCAATTGCTTGGAAGGTAGCTATGCTCACCACTATACCACATTGTAAGTTGATACACTGGTGAACAAAAATCTAAGTATGTGCTTTTCTCGTCATCAGATGATAGGAAACAGCCAAAGGGTAGCAGTCGTGTGGTTTCTGTGGTGTAGTGGCTATCACGTTTGCCTCACACGCAGCAGGTCCCTGGTGCGAGACCAGGCGAAAACACATTTAAATTTTGAACTTTGCTTTAGTAACTGACCGATTGTCATCACTGTAGATTCAGGTCCTCTAGGAACAGCCAGAAACCGAGTCCTCGAACAGAGCAGATTTCCTTCTTTTCTGCTGTTGTACCAAAGCAGATAACACTTGCTTACAAAATGAAAGGGAGTCTCTGGTTTTCCACAAAAAATGGAAGCCTGGCTCTTTCGTTGCTCAATAAGACTCTGAACGTGACTGGAAAATCTTCTGTAAAGAACTGGTCACCAAGTTCAGCTATCAGCAAAAAGGACTATGCTCGAAAAAGGCTGGGAGCGTTTTCCCTTCCATTGTGCTTTTGTAGCAAGGCAGATAACAGCTGCTTGAAAAATACCAGGGAGTCTCTGCTTTTCCACTGAATGTGGAAGCCTGCCTCTTTCGTTGATCAAGAAGACAAGAGTAGTGATGCGTTTGACTCGAAGTTGCAACTTGTAATTCCCCACCCCCAAGCAGGAAAATACAAAGAAAACGCACCCTCAACTGAAAATTGCCATTCGACAGACATAGAGAGACCTCATTTTCTTACATTTTTGCCCCTATTCACGGATCAAACGTGCCCAAAGCCAAGATCCCCAGTTCAAACAATTGGAATCAGGTGTGGCTCCTGCTAGATTGGGATGAACAGTTGTCAAACTTGATAACTTGATGTGCTTCCAAAAAGCAAAGAACCACTAACAGTACAAGTGGGAAGCAGAAAGACTTCGAAGAGGCCTGCAGAGATGTCTGTGACACACTCTGTTGACCAATTCATTTTCAGGTAGGTGATTCCTTGCTTCCTTCCTTCTACAAAGAAAACGCACCCTCAGGTGGAAAATGCCATTGGGCCGTCAACAGTGGGAAGTCTTCTCAACTACCAGTTCCTTCCCTGTTCATCGAGTGACGTCAACACGACAGATTCAGAACTCCCAAAGTGGCACTTACCTTACATTCTAACCAAGCAAAAGCCACACTTTCCTCTAGTGAAAGCCAAGATCAGCAGTTCAAACAATTGGATTCAGGTGTGGCTCCTGCTAGATTGGGATGAAAATCTGAAGATTGGACCACCCTGTTTAAGACCAATCAGCATATGTGCTTTTTAAATGTAAAACATTGACTATGTAGATAGCTGATTGCAGAAAATGCACACCTCTCATCACAGTTTGCATGGTAGCTTGTCGCTAACAAAATACAGAAATGTAGAGACCTCATTTTCTAACATTGTTGCCCCCATTCACCGGTCAAACGTGCCCTGATGGATAATGATGTGCTTCAAAGCAGCAAAGAACCCCTAACAATTAGACGTGGAAAGCAGAAAGACCTCAAAGAGGCCTGCAGAGATGCCTATGGAACAATCTGTTGACCAATTTATTTTCAGGTAGGTGATTCCTTCCTTTTTTTCCAACTAGCATAAAGTAGCACTTGATCCTTCAAGCTACTGTGTGTGTTCGTTGGCCGGAAATCAAACCCAGCTCAATTGCTTTGAAGGCAGCTATGCTCACCACTATACCACCAATGCTGTGTTGTCATGTGATTCTCTGGTAAAATATGGTAAAAAATACCATTTAAGCCTTCATGGTACAGTGTGTGTATTGGCCGGGAGTCAAACCAAGGCGGTTGTGGCGCTGGTGGTGCTGGTGGTTGAGTGGGTTGTCCACTGATTGTAGGGTTGGTGGTTCTGTTCCTGGCCTAAATGACTCCATGTACCTATGTGTGCTTTGCAAGACACTGAACCCCAGGTTTCTCCTGATGTCAAGTTGGTACCTTGCTTTGCAATTCTGCTACCATTGGTGTGTGTGTTAATGGGACACAGTGTAAAGTGCTTTGGATAAGAGTGCATTTATGCTCAAAAGAGTTTCATTTAAGAAGCCAGATAAAAACACATCTGCATTACCACTTCTCGCTACCCACAGAAGACAATGAAAAAAAAAGGCACAAAAAAAAAAAACACCTACAACTTTCACACATACCACACCAGAGTTGGGTCGGCACTCAGGTTCATCCATGACAAAGGTCATCTGTAATCTCCTACTCAAAAGGACACCTGACATACAACTGACACACAGCACCCCAAAATTGAGTAGAACAGATAATGAATGATACAATCACCAGAAGGAAAGGAGAAAACACTGAGTTCCCTGACTTCAGCTTCCCAATTACAGCCAAGTGATAAGAGTGTTGATAGATAGATACTTTATTGATCCCCAAGGGGAAATTCAAAATTGTTGGACTGTCCAATGATAAACCATGGCTGGTCAAACAAACCAACCCGTTTCCATAGTTATAAATAGTAGAAAAATTAATAGATGTACCAATCTGGCAGACCAATCCGTCAGCCTATTTCGACAGCCTACTGCAACGCCCCTCAGTGTATACAAACCCCTTAAATGGTAACTGGCAGCAGACGGGGACCCTCATTATGGAGGGAAAGCACCCAGAAATGCATTTTAATAAAGATAGGTACACCGTGAGGCTCATCAGTTCACTCTTAGGCACTCGCACACCACTCACTCACTCACTATGTATGTATATATGTATATATGTATGTATGTATGTATGTATGTGTATGTATGTATGTATGTATGTATGTATCTATCTATCTATCTATCTATCTATCTATCTATCTATCTATCTATCTATCTATCTATCTATCTATCTATCTATCTATCTATCTGAGATTCTGCCGCACTGCGCCCTTGCAAATCCTATCATTTAACACACTAATAATAATAATAATAATAATAATAATAAATCAACTGCATACTTGCTTTACACATCCATATGGCCAATTTAAATTAAATCACAATTAATATTAAAGTAGTCTACTTATACTCAAAGTTAATTAATCAATACCTGTCATCTGCCTTGAGTGTTGTTGTATCAGAATTTGACCAGTAGATGGCAACAATGGAGCATTTTATACAGACAATTCAACAAAAACAAACAGAACAGTTTCTCTCTAGGTGTCTTTTTTATTTAGTTAATTTTCATTTAATTTATTTTCAGACCGAGGTGAAGTTCTGATGTTATTTTCAGGACAGGCTTAACTTCAGGTTACCCTTTGTGGTTACTTGATAGCATGACAAGCTGCATTTCTTTGCCTTAAGAACAGAGACTGCTGAGGGAATGGCAGTTTATAGCTGTAAATCATAACTGGAAGTAACTTGTTTTTTGATGTTCCTCAGCATTGTATGTAACTATAAACAGTCAAAATATGTACTATATACTGACTTAGCACACAGACAAAAATATTGTAGGTCTCACTTATGCCACCAAAACAGCTTTGACCCATCAAGGCGTGGACTTCACAAGACCTCTGATTGTGCTGTGATATCAGTGATCGATCATTAAAATGATGATCGTGCAGTTTTGGTCTTCATTTTACTGCTTTTGCTTTTACATGTTTTTCTGTCAGCTATGCAAACAGTAGTGCGTGCATACTAAAACCCCAATTCAGACAAGCTGGGACAGTATGGAAAATGCTAATAAAAACAAAGAGGAGTGATTTGTAAATGTACTTTGACTTGTATTTAAACAAACAAAAAAAACCTATAAATACAAGGTATTGTCTAATCATAGTATATAAGGAGCCTCCAAAAAGGCCTAGTCCTTCAAGAGCAAGGACGGGTCAAGGCTTCTACCAACAGATGCAACACTTTGACAACAACATTCCTCATAGACATATTGGTAGGATTTTGGGTATTTCACCTTCTACAGTGCACAATATAATATTCAAGGAATCCGGTCAGATCTCGGTGTGTAAAGGGCAAGGCCGAAAACCACTTTTGAATGAGCGTGAGTTCCGATCGCTCAGACGTCACTGTCTTAAAAACCGTCATGAATCTGTAATGAGATCCTGACATGGGCTCGGGAATACTTCGGTAAACCTTTGTCAGTCAACACCATTCACCGCTGCATCCACAGACGCAAGTTAAGGCTTTACTATGCAAAGCAGAAGCCGTACTCTTCAGAAGCTCCACATACTTCTCTGGGCTCGGTCTCATCTGAGATGGACAGTAGCACAGTGGAATCGTGTTTTGTGGTTCCGACGAGATGACATTTAAAATAGTTTTTGGATAAAACAGCTGTCGTGTTCTCTGGGCCAAAGAGGAATTAAAACATTCAAGCTGTTATCAGTGTCAGGTCCAAATGTCAGCGTCTGTCATGGTATGGGGGTGAATTGAATTTTTCAAATGACTCTTTTTATTGTTGCTTTTTTTTGCATTTTCCATACTGTTCCAACTTTTTTTGGAATTGGGGTTGTACTTTAATTATGGTAACCAGGTAAAAAGTAGAGAGACACGCTTTCTCTGCAATAATTTATTGATTTTGACCAGCGGGTCTTCACATTATGACAATATCCACCTTTTTCCTGAGAAACCATGATGGATTCTAATTTCCGTTGTACTGTTTTTCTGTTCCGGTCTCTATAGGAATACTTATAAATAATAAAACTGGCTAAAGTGTGTGACTGAATTACTTAAACAGAAAATTTGTGAGTGTTAGTAAAAATAAAAATGAACTCAGGGTCAAGCTGTGCTGCCATTGGCTGCCACAACAACAGCAATAAAGTTTAGAAATTTCTCGAAAATACTAGTTTTGAGCAGCAGCAAACCTGAAAAAAATGTCTGTGCCTGGCGCCATGTGCCTTGCATTCTGTGCGAAATTTTGATGATCCTGTATCTAGGATATGAACACCCACTTGTTACCAAGCGGCAAAAGCTATTAACCCAAGTTGCTTAATTTCTGACTGAGATCTGACTCTGCTTTCAAAAAAGAATGTTGCCATGTTTCCTGTGCAAAATATTTTGTTATATATTATATAATAAAATACTAATACTATTTTATTGCTGTGCTGATAATTATATTCTTCTGTGCTTTTGTAACGTCTTCACAGTTCTTCACCATCAACGCCTTCAGAGAAACCAAAGTAGTTAATGATATCGATGTAGCTAACCTCTGTCCAATGCTTCATATCATCTATCCAGTCATTAAACTTTGACAGGTGAGGTACTATCAAAAGACGGTCATCGCAACACTGTAAAGTATTGGCACTATGGAGCCATTTTCACAAGTTTATCATCACATTATCAGCTAGGAAACGATGCTAATTTGACTCTAAACACCCTGGAGAACAGAAATGTAAAACATCCAAAGAGCACAAGCAGCAGCAGGTCACTGATGAAGCACTTTGTGACCATTCCCACAACTAGCAGTGATAACGCTATAGCCTGATTGTGGAAGGTTTTTAGATGCGCGAATGAGGCTAAACACTATCAACCTGCATATGGTTTTGAAATAGAACTAACAGATAATGTACAGTCATTCAGGCTTTTAGAGAGTACCAGGACTTCCAAACTTAGACAAAAATTCCAGATAGACTGAGGCAGTTGATGGCTACTGTCAATAACAGTCACCAGTGATCACCAGTGGCGCTTGAACGGGGTTTCTCCAAAATAAGTCTCATTCGTAGCTCACAGCGTGAATCCCTTCTCATCCCCATCATCTCATCTCTGGTGTTTTTGAACAACGTGGATCCACCGCTTACAAAGTTCAATCCCGAATCATTTATGCGGTCATGTATACATAATGGACACAGGGAAGAGGAGGAGGACACTGACATGACAGCTTTGTGGAATATTTTGTCATAGGTAAGACGGTTTTTTCTTGATTATTTTGAGCAGGGAATGTTTATTGTGACTATGCTTTCTTTATGAAATGTAGCTTTTTTTCAAAGTGCTTCGCGTGTAGGTGTTTTTTTTTTGCTAACCGAGGTGACGGCACATAAGCTGAGAAAATGTGCAATCAATTAACGTTTCCCTTTGTACTGAGAATACTTACTGCTATAAAGTTCATTATGGTATTACATTGCTGTACCAGTGTGATCAGTTACACAGGCCGACCTATCAGCATTGATTATCGTTGGCTACGTGAGATACTGGAAGCACTTTTACATGTGTGTAAGTTCGAGGACCGGGACCTTTCACGTCCCTTCCGACCTGCCGGATCACTATCTTCTTAGTGTTCCGGGAACTGCAGATTTACAAATTAAACAATGTACATATGTATATATATTCTGTTCTGTATTTATTAGGTATGAAAAATAGTCTGTGCTACTTATAAGTGATTAGTTATTTGTCTCAATTTTCGTGTGTGCTGTAAGCATACTGTAATCCTCAGCAGCTATGGATGATGTGGGTGCGCATTTCAATTAAAATGAATTCCACCGTGCATTTTTGTTTTTAATGCGGCTTTATTTAACAAACAAAAAAAGCAATAATGAGTGATAAAATGTACTTTAAGATAAAGGGAATCATTTTGGCTTATATAATGGCAAAATAATTTCAGCAAAAGGTGATATATATATATATCCTGATAAGCTTTATCCCATTAAACACTTTATTTTGATAAAATAATGGAATATGTAAAGAAATCTTCTGATTATTGGATAAGGGATTTATCAGCTCCGCTGAGTTTAGGTTGAGTTTTCATACAGGCGCTGGTCAATTAAATCAATGG